GTCACCAACTGGTACAGAGGGATGTCAGCATTTTAGCAACTGGCAGAGCCATTTCAGTGCACCTCAGCTGCATGTCAGCCCTGTGTGATGTTTTTTCCACATTCCTGCAGATGAAGCAAGGCAGGGTTGCCATGCAGAAAGAGTATTAAACTAGGAGTCACAAGTTCTGCGCTCTAAGCTTAACTCTACTAGTTACTTGGCAGATTATTTAACCCTTATGTGCCCAGTTTCTCTGGAATATAGGAAACAATCTCTACCTGACATAGTTGGCATAAGGATGAATGGGGTAGTGTGAGTGATGTGCCTGGCACAGCATCTGAATCACCAGTAGGTGTCTGAATCTGCACCTAAACCTGATTATATCATGACCTGAATCTGGGTCCCAAATCTACTACTTCACTGTTTCTGTGAACCCATGTTCCTATAAACACCATAAAATGTGTCCATTTATGGGACAAATGAGCGGTGCTTATAAAGTGTTAAGAACAGCTCCTTGTATGTAGTGAGCACACAAAGAAATCCTGTTTTTGTTCTCTGTTGCACTGAGCTCTGTACTAGTTTGCTGAAACCATCCCCATTTGTCTCTGTCATTTCTGATATCTTTTGCTCCTGATGGCTACCATCTTCCTTTTTCTTTTCTTTTATTCTTTTCCTTTTTATGTCTTCTGTACAGAGTAAGACTGGCTTTGAGAACAGTGATATGTTTGACTGCAGATAACAGAAACCCCCTTTAGCTGGCTTTGCTAACATGGAAATAGGACACGTTACACAGAAGGGAGTAAGGGGTGTCATGGTCCAACCAGTCAGAAAGGCTCTGTTCCCTCCAGTCTTTCCTCTCCTGTCAGTAGGACTGCCCTTATAATTAGAAGAAGGAGGATGCCATTTCGCAACTAGGATTAAGTGTTCCAGGTGTGGCTAGATATTGGAGACAAAGAAGGCACAAGCCAGATTCCAAGAATGTGGCCTAGAGGAGTGAGCATGGAGAACCAGGTGGTCACACATGGCATCACTCATAGCTGGGGGCTGCAGGAAACACATGGGGGTCTCTGAAGAATCTAAATCCGCCCAAGAGAAGAAGAGTCAGCTTAAATATCTGCCAAGCCCAGAAGCTCAGATGGTAAAGTGTCTGCCTGCAATGTGAGAGGCCAGGGTTTGATCCCTGAGTTGGGAAGATTCCCTGGAGAAGAAAAGGGCAACCCACTCCTGTACTGTTGCCTGGAAAATCCTGTGGACAGAGGAACCTGGACGGCTACAGTCCATGGGGTCGCAAAGAGTTAGATACAACTTAGTGACTAACACTGTAAGCCCAGAGAAAGGCACCATCAGCTCCTGAGAGCATGGGACAAACAACCTTTCTTCCCCTTACCTTGTCCACTGACCCCTAAACTAAGAAGGGGCCAGAGACAGCCAGCAAGGAGGGAAAATAGACACACTGGGCAAAGAGGAAAGCAGATGGCAACCAAATGGCTTGCCCATCACCCGTGGCTATCTTGAAGCAGGCCTGAACTGGGGAGAGGAGAAGCTCCAATTTGGTTTAAAATTATTTATTTTTATTATTATTGGCTTTATTAATTACCTAATTGAAACTGTTTTATGTGTACAAGTGACCAGAGGATGGATAGATTATCTATCTATCTATCGTGGTAAGGACCTCGCACACCTACTATTAGTAACATTTTAAAAATATTTTGAAATACTCTTATATTTACAGAAGAGTTGCAAAGATAGTACCTCTAGAGTAGAATTTATCAACCTTCTTTTTCTTTTTTTAAAAGATTTTGATTTGAGGTACAATGGACATATAGCATTATGTTAGTTTCAGGTATGCAACATAATGGTTCAATACTTGTTCATATCTTGTGAAAGGATCACCACCATAACTCTAGTTAACATCCATCACTATACATAGTTACAGTTTTTTTTCTTGTGATGAGAACTTTTAAGATTCAGCCTCTTTCTTCATTATCACCCTACCCCACCCCAGGAGCCTTTGTAGATCTTCATTTCTGTAATTGTTCCCTCATGAAATTTTAATACCACAGGTGTGTTGTGTATCTATGTATGTGCTGTGCCTTTTAGAGGGCCACCAACCGTGGTAATAGCTAAGTTATTTTTCTGTACAACAACCGATTTTCACCCTTTGAGAGCACTCCTTCCATTGCAAATGCATGGTCTGGAGAGTTTCAGCACACTCTTCACCCAACACCTCTGACGTTAGTATGTTACATAACTGTAGTATGTTTGTCAAACCTGCAAGACTAGCATTGGTGCAACACCATTAACTAAACTACAGAGTATATCTTGATTTCTCCAGTTTTCACAAAAGTCCTTTTTCTGATCAAAGATCCCGTCCAGGACGCATATTGCATTTTGTCATTGTGTCTCCTTCAGTTTCCTCCATTCTCAAGCTTTTCTAGACAATATCTCAAGTTTTTCTTGTCTTTCATGATCTTGACACTTTTGAACATTAGTACTGATCTGGTATACTGTTGAATTTCCTCAATTTGGGTTTGTCTAAGGTTTTCTCATGATTAGACTGTGGTTATGGATTTTTGGGGAAATACCATATGGGGAGAATGCCCACTTCTCATTGCATCATATTGGGGGTACATGACAGCAACATAGCTTATTGCTTGTTAACCTCAGTCCCTTGGCTAAGGTGGTGTCTGACAGCTTTCTCTGTAAACTTATCTTTCGCTTTCCACACTCCCTTGATGAGAAGCAAGTCCCTGAATCCAGCTCAAACTCAAGGAGAGGGGATTTAAGCCCCAGCTTAAAGGAAGGAGGAATATCAAAGAATCTGTGGACCTCTTTTAAAGTCACCACAGTAATTTAAACATAATTGGGGGGAGATTCTTTGAGGCTATGCCAGTGTCCTGCTTCTCCTTTGAGTTTTACCTACCAGTTTTAGCATTCATAAGGTGGATCTTGCCTGCAGCAATTATTACTGTGGTGTCTAACAGTGATTTTTATTTTTCTCATTTGTTCATTTGTTATTTGGAATCCTTTTGTAAAAAAGAGATAGCCCTTCTATTTGTTTATTCAGTAAGTTATTTATATTAGCATGGGCTTCTGGATTTTTTTTTTTAGTTTTAATACAATACTATCATTATCTGTTTTGTTATTCATATTGTTCTAGCTTTGGTCATTGGAAGCTTTTTCACATTGGCTCCTCTGTCCTGACATGCCTCCAATCCTTCCTTTCTTCCTCTTCCTTTTTTCCTTTCTTTTAAAAATCACTTTCTTACTTTCTGGCACTACAAAATGTTGCAGGCTCAACTTGTATTTTCTGTACCCCAGCCCTAGCATCAGACATTTCTCCAAGGAATCCTGGTTCCTAGAAACTTTTTAAAAATATATTTATTATTTATTTATTTATTTGGCTGTGTCGGGTCTTAGTTGTGGCATGTGGATCTTTCATTGTGGTGCAAAGACTCTCTAGTTGTGGCACGTGGACTTCAGTAGTTGTGGTCCCAGGGCCCGGTTGCTCCACAGCATGTAGGATCTCAGCTCCCCGGTCAGGGATCGAATCCATGTCCCCTGTGTTGCAGGGCAGATTCCTAACCACTGGAACATGAAGAAGTCCCCCTAGAAAATTTTAATTACCCAAGAGTGACCAGAAAAATCATGGAATATGCTCTAGATTTCTTTCAAAGGTCAAAGAATAACCAGCTTTTCAGGACAGGTTTGATAGGACAGTGGGAGATAAAAATGAAGTTGCTTCTTAATTGTATGCTGCATACTCCCTTGCCCAATTTAACAGTAACCCTGAGTCACTGTCCCTCCTAGGGTTGACCAGTTGGACTGATGGCTGTGACATGCTTTGGAGAGTGGACAACACTTAACAAGTGCAAAAGCTGAGACATCTGGTCAGCTTTGGATACTCCATTGTTTCAGGGCCTGAGGTCTCTGAATATCAAGTAGAAGAAATGATTCTTGCTACAAAAGGGAACCGCTTGCTGTGTTATTTGGCCTCTTGGGGTCATGGTGCTGAGAGGTGCTAATCAGAAAGGGCTGGCATTGCAACACCCTGGCCAAGTGCTTCAGCAGCAGAATGGACATGAGGTCAACGGGACTTCCTAACATCACGAGACTGCTCTTCATGTAAGAGCCAGAACAAAGAGTCTTTAGGGGAGATCTGGTGGACACCTGGCCATGACACTGGCCCGTAGCCCTGAGGAAAAGCCCTGCGCTCAGAGATCAAGTTTCCCTGTAACCTCTTTGCTCAGGCCCAGCAAAGCCAATAGGAGAGGTTTTAGACTTCCAGTGAACTGTCTCAGTTGTGTTTGTAATGGCGTAAACAGAACCCGCCACCCCCACCCAGCTTCCTGTCTGATGACCAGAAGCAGCAGCTCTTTGTCTGAGATGAGACAAAGACAGTTCCTTCTTCTGAACTGGTGGGTTTCCTCCTGGCCCCCCAGAGGAGTTCCTCTCATCCCTGAGAAGAGGATTTTCCACTTCACAAGAAGGGAAGCTGATTAACAAGGGTCTGTACATCAAAGAAGACAGATGATTTGACTGTGAAGATTAATTCCAGCACCCATGTTTTATGATTCTGCCAATGTACAGATTGGTAGCATTGCCCAGTTGGTCTCCGTGGGAAGTTTACATGAGACAAAAGCAGTGTGAGAGGACAGAAGCGTGGCTCAGAGTCGGGCCTAGTGGGCAGGTTGTTTTAGTCTTTTGACCTCAGTGTCTCTGTCTTCAAAGTGAGAATAAGTGGAGCGGTGTTTGCTATTTTCTACTTGACTTAACCCTCGTGAGGAAATTCAAGAACATATGTTGAGCTAAGAAGAAGTAATAATGAATCCTGAGCAAACTCTGTCTGAAGCTTCCTGCTTATTGCCTGACAAACATAATTTAGTGAAAAGAGACTTCACTAAGGTTGGGAAAATTGGGACTGGATGAACAAAAGTCTTACCAGCTCAGGGAATCTGTGATCCTGGCTGTTCTTGGGTTCCTGACACACACCAGGCACTCAATGAAGATGTGTCAACTGCATGAAGGAAGTGAGAGGGGAGCCAGTAAAGCCGTATTTGAAAGGGAGATTCCTTCAGTTCTGGGAAGGTCAGCAGACAACACTGGCTGAGATGCCACAGGTCCTGAGGCTGAGTCTAGGGACAGCCAGGCTCACTAGACAAAAGACAGGGAAACAGAGCCTGGAATGGAATTCTGCAATATCAGAACTAGTAGGTCCACCCCTCCCTGCAATTCTTCACAATTTGGGGGACAAATGTAAAGTGTCCCCACTCTGGGAAGCCTGTACTATGTACAGACCCACACTGCTCTCTGCGCCCATCCCTCTAGGAGGGCAGGGAAGGACTCACAGTTCCCTAGTCCCTTTGTTGCCTCTTGTGTGTGTGCATGGGGTGGGGGTGGGATATGTCTGCTTTGTCTGTGTGTGTCTTCAACACTCAGCACACAGCTTCCTTCCTAGTGAAGGCTCAGTAGAACTTTGTGGAGCTGAGCATAAAATCTGGAAGGAAATTGAGTCTGGAAGAAGGAGCTTAAAAAGGAGAGGGATCAGAGTATATAAGGATGCCCTGATGAAGCACTTAATATCGTGAGGGTGTCAGGCCAGAGGTCAAGGGGCTTGAATGAGAGCCATCATCGACCCCAGATGGCTGGTGTGGAGGAGGTGGGATCTGGAGCTGAGTAGGGCTGAGGCTGGGATCTCAGCCAGGTGTAAAAGCTGCAGCCACAATTAAAGCTGGTGGGTGGGTTGGTACAGAGTGTCCATTGTCAGAATGACTTGGGGGAGCCTTTTATATCTGGGGGGTTGGTTGAGGGCAAAACTTGGCAGCAGGAGGGAAACCACAGGTAACCCAAAGTCAGCAGATGGGAGCTCCATAACAATTCCAAGAGACTGTTCATCCTGACATGGCCCTAGCAAGGCTGAAGGTGTATGGAGGTTCCTCAGAGTCAATTAAGCAGATCTGGCAGGACTTCAGAGGATGGAGTTTTGGGCAGGAAAACCAGAGTAAATGTCCTGCCCCACCCTATTCTGAGCCAATACAATGGAGAAGGAGTTGGGAGCACCAAGATACAAATGCTCCAGGTATGCCCAGGTTGGCACTTAAGAGCATGACCAGTTCAAATCCTGGCTCCACCATTCACTAGCTGGGAATTGCTGTGCAAGTGACTTCACCTTAGGTGTCTGTTTCCTCATCTATGCAACAGGAAACCACCGAGCCTGTCTAACCTGATGGTGGTGAGTGTAAATGAGAAAGTGCATGTAAAGTGCTTAGCACAGTCCCTCACACACAGTACGTGCTCAATGAATATCAAGTCTTGTTTTTTAAATTGCCACTGCCCACAGTTTCCCAGCCTTGCACTATTGACATGCTGGGCAGGATAAGTCTTTGGTGTGGGGGATGTCCAACGCATTGTAAGATGTTTAGCAGCAGCATCCCTGGCCTCTACCCACTAGATACCAGTAGAAAATTTCAGTTATGAAAATCAAAAATGTCTCCAGACATTATCAGATTTTCTGATGTCTGGAGCAAAAAAAAAAAAAAAAAATCCCTGGTTTGGAACTACCACACAAACTCTGGACCTGCCAGGTGCTGGTCTACAGATGGTATTTTTCTGATGGGGCTGCAGTAGTGAGTATAGACCACACATGTCCTGGTCAAGATTGCTCAGATCCTAGGGTCTCCTTGATCTGGCTGAGGGACTCATCACAGGAGGCCACAGGTGCTGAGGCACAGGTGTAGCTGTGGCCACGCCCCACTAGTGGTAAGTGTAGAAGCGAACTGTCACCAGTCCAGGAGGTGCATCTCAGCTACCATGGATCAATGCAGGTTCAGAAAGATACTTGGGAAGAAAGAAGCAACAGGCACTGCCCAGGTAAGGGCATTCCCCCGAAGGAGAAGCCATAATATGGGTCCTCACTGCCAAACAGGTGAGGAAAGGCAATGGGATGAAAAAAGGGCAGGGGTTGTCATTATGAGCACCCACTGTATGCCAGGCATTGTACCAGGCATTATCTCACTGACTTTTCAGATAGCCCCATGACACCCATTTATTTAGTCACCAATAAATGTTTACTGAATGACTGTGACGCGGGGAACTGTCCGAGGTGCTGAGGATACAGCAGGAAACAAACTCCCTGCCCTCATGCAGCTTACATTCTAGGGAGAGAACCTGACAACACCAGGAAGAAAATGAGTCTGATGTACAGCCTGCCATATGAGATAAGAGCCCTAGGGAAGATGGGGAAGGGAACTGGGGAGCTGTGGGGTTGTGATAGTATATAGGGTGTTCAGCAAGAGCCTTGAGATCTAGTGCTAAAGGTTCAATTTCAGTTTTCTCATTGCTTAAAATTTATTGGCAGAGCATTTGAGACTCAATAACAAAATGAATCAACACTAAATTTTAACTCCCCAGCAAACAATATGGTGGAGAACCATATTGTTCTTAAGGGTACTGAGGCTCAAAGACCCGCCCAAAGATACTCAGCTACCAGGTGGAGAAGCCAGGTGTTGACTGATATCCAACTGACTCAGAAGCTTAGGCCCTTCCCACAGGGTTAAGTTTCAGGGCTTGTCAGAGTTTAAGCAACATGGGATGATCCAGGGGTTGGGTGATGGGGATCTCCCTCTCTGGGGAGACCTTACAGCAGGAAAACTCAAGAGTGAGAAAGGAACAAAGGTGTTGACTGAGGGAAGAAGGGTTTATAAACATCTGGGAGGATGAGGAATGTGGAAAAAAAAAAAAAAGAAACAAGGCTGTCAGGACCAGGGAGGGAAAATAATCAATTAATTAAAGCAAGCCAAACTGCTCAGACATACTTTTTCAGTCCTTAGAAGCCTGGAATCTTCCTCCCCTGAAATTTCCAAGTACTCCCTAATCCAGAAACAAAGGGATGTCCAAGAAGCCTGAGAGACAAGAGTGGAGGAGGACTGTAAAATCCAAAAGCCATGGCACTGCACACTCTCTGAGGCTGGCTTACTTGGCAGAGGGTGACACAGTTGACATCATGGTTCCTCTGAAAAATGCAAGGTCATGGGCACCCAGCACCCACACCAACTCAGTCACTGCCCCCTGCCACCCACACCTGTGATGATGGTCTAAAAACTGATTATGCTGATGACCCTGAGTCATGAAGAAAGGCTGAGGTTGCTCTCAGGACATGACTGTCTACTGAGCCAAACACAAGTATAAAAGGCCACCTCTGTACAACCTCTTCGGGCCTCATGTTAGAGCCCTCAGCCAACAGCTTGTCAAAGACTTCTTCATGTGGTTGTCTCCCTACAGAGCTGGGGATCTTTGAGGACAGGAACAGAACTTCTGCTTCCTCTCTCTGTCCTTCCTGCCCAGCACAGGGTCATTCCCGTAGGAGGGATGCAAAGGTATTTGTAGAATGAAGATGGAAACCTAGTCCCATCAAAAAGGTGCGTATGAAAGCTTTAGCCCTTGTAGAATTCATCTTCTGCATACAAACCACCAACTCAGACCTTGTAACCTGAGAATTGTCCTCCAAGACAACAGAGACTATCCTGCACCCGAATTTTCTCTCAAGAGCACCCCCTACTGTCATCCCTCTGGTTTACTGAATGTTGAGTCATCTCTTGCCTTTCCTGTCCTCACTTCACTCCCACCTGGTTATGTGTTTAGTTGAATTGGCTTCTCTGGTATTTCTGACACTTGACTCCTTCTTTCCTATCTCTGTTCTCCCAGTTTAGTTCAGGCCCTCTGGGTCGGGTGTGATGCTCACCTTACATCTTCCAGTTGTTATCTAGTCTCCTCAAACAATCTTTACATTCCCCTTCCATTCAAAGTCCAAAGCCCAGTAGGATCGCATCTCTTCTCTTCTTGGAGCCTCCATGGGTTCCCTCCTGTTGTCTCCGTTTCAGTACATTCCCCCAGTCCCCGCACATCCCTCCTATTCCGAGCGCCTTCTCTGTCATCTGCCCCGGACCACCCTCCATCTCGTCTCCTACTGCTTCTCCTGTGTGTCCCCTGGACACTGAGGTCTGGGCACAGCGCCCGCTCTGTGCTGTCCAGCTCCTGGGCCTTTGTTCCTGCCGTGTCCTCTGCTGGGCATGCCCTTCCTTCCCATGGCCACAGGTCTCATCCTGTCCTTCAGCACTCAGCCCCAAAGCCACCCCTCCTAAGAAGCCCTCCTGCCTTCTCCTGGTAGTGATCACGTCCCTCCTGAAGGTCCACAGCATCTAACTTTCACCCTTGTTGTGACATTGGTCACCAAACACCAAATTATAGCTGTCGTTGTTCAGTCGCTAAGTTGTGTCTGACAATCTTTGCGACCCCATGGACTGCAGCATGCCAGGCTTCTCTGTTCTTCACCATCTCCCAGAATTTTCTCAAACTCATATCCATTGAGTCAGTGATGCCCTCCAACCATCTCATCCTCTGTTGTCCCCTTTTCCTCCGGCCCTCAATCTTTCCCAGCATCAAGGTCTTTTCTAATGAGTCAGCTCTTCACATCAGGTGACCAAAGTATTGGAGCTTCAACTTCAGCATCCGTCCTTCCAGTGAATATTCAGTGTTGATATCATTGTGTATATATTACCTCCTCTAAAGTAGTCTCCAAACTTTATTGATTTTCTTACTCCACTAGTAAAAGTTTGAGAATGCACACCAACATGTACATTCTTTATTTACTTATAAACTGGACCATTGTGCTAATATATTTTGTACAACCTGAAACACAATAGGAATAGGAATTTATGGAAGGGTGTGATAAAAATAGTTGATAGAGAAGCCTGGTGTCTTCTCCCTGTGCCCCCAGAACTCTGGTGTGCTGCACTTTGGAGACCACCGGTCTAGTTGGGGAAGGACTCAGACTGCAGAGGCATGAAGTTGAGGCTGTTCATGGGGTGAAGCATCCAGTGGGGAGGAGAAGCAGGTGGGAGAGCCAAGCAGTTCTGGGAGAGGAGAGGTGCCCTCTGGATGGCTGCTCCTGCCCACTGGCTTCAGGAAAAGGCTCAGCAAAGCGTGGCAACCTAACCAAGCATGGCAGTTGGAAGCAGATGAAGAGGATCTCCGGGCAGGAGAGGAACAGCAGCTGGGCAAAGTGGCTGCCTGGGAATTCCAGGCTCTCTTTAGATGCCAGGCCATGTCCTTGGGGAATAAAGGCCTCAGAGGAATGGAGCAGGCTGTCAGCACTGTGTCCCCTTGAAACTTGCATCTCAACCAATAATGGCAGCTCTAAGCAGAGATGCTAACACAGTGTGACTCCCATGGTATTTGATGGACAGGAAACTAGAGCCCAAGGGAAGCTGCCCAAGGTGACTGTGGCGCTGATGATGTGTGAACTCTCTTCACACTTGGCCTCTAGTTTCTGTGTTAGCCTTCACACTCTCGTGGAGGCACCCCTGTCACCATCGACAGGCCTGCAGCCCCAGCTGCTCAGACCAAGCTGCTTCTGCAAAATGGAGCTGGTTGGGCTTCAAGAACAAGAGGCAGCTTCTGCTAATGCCCTGGCCCTAAACACACCCATGCTCACATGCACACACACCAGGTGGGACCTCTCTCTATTAGTACACCTTCAGCAATGTTCTTTTCCAAGTGTCCCTATAATGCCCCCTGCCCTGTCCCTTCC